GTTCTGGAGCAAGAGAGAGCCGTGGTTGACTCAACACCATTAGATCATGTGCAGCACACTCTCTGTCCAACACACATGCACGTACCTGCTGCTTTGTTCTCGGCCTACAACATCTGTAGAACTGTTTGCACGCTCGGGAAAAAATGCTGATGTTTGCTCTAAGACTGACACCTCCTCGGGTACACGGGATTTCATTTCAGCGTGGTATTGCTTTTGAAGTTCAGCTTTTATGCTGTAAAAGGCTTCTGAACTAAACTACTGCCCCAAAACATCAGCGCCTTTGCTTTAGGGACTTGAAAATTTTTATTGGAGAATCTCTAAAATAACTCTTGAACATGGGGTAAGAGAATACATGACTTCAATATTCCATCAGAAAACAACTGAACCCTCAGTCCTTGGGCAAAAATTTTTGAAGAATATTTATCAAGTGGCTTTGTACCAAGAAGAATAAATCCATTAAACCCATCTTGCAATCTGACCACCACTGCCAGTGAATAAACTCAGAATGTCTCTGCTACACCTACTGTAGGACAGATCCTATTAACAAATAAAGATTACTACTGCCAGGAGGCAGGGCTCTAGGACAAGACACACATCCCAGCTCTACTCCTGCAGCCTTTCAGGTGGCCATAAAGCACAGCACAGCAACCCCTGGGCAGCACCTAAAAGCCCAGAGCCCGCCTCCACTGCGCTTTTCCACTTGCAGCAATTTTGGTCCTTTGATTGAGCTGCACACTTGACCTGGCTAAACCTTCCCCAGCTGAGCGAGCGGCGTGTTGTGGCAGCGCCGGGTTGTGAAATACAGTGGGAGGCCTCCTGTGCTCATTTGTGTGTCAGTACCCAGAGTGCTGCTCCTGCCTTCCAGCTCCTTCATAGAAGTGCTGCTGGGACTGGAACCGTGGGAACGGGGCGCTGCTGCCGTGTGGGTGTGCAGGGACAGCTCCCCCTCCCCGGGCCCTGCTCACACTCAGCTCTGCCGTGGCTGGCACCGGCCAGGGAAGCTCCACGTGCCGGCCAGCGGCGCTCGGGGTAGGGCTGGGAGAAGGGGGCTCAAAAGACACAGAGTCAAACCCACCCTCCTGCTCTGGGAACAGCAGCCAGCAGAGCCTTCAGGGCTCTGTCTGAACTAATTCAGGGCGAGAGCAGCATCCTGATGTTAAGCCAGCCCAGAGCTGTCTGTCACACGGGAGGGACACGCCAAGGCCAGATCTACCCCACAACAAAACACTCACCAAGCACCAGCTACTGAGCTCAACAGAAAGGCTTTGGCACTGACGGGGAATTTCTAGGACCCTGTTTTGCAACCCTGTCAAGTTATTCACATTTTAGATTTCTAGAAATACCCCAGAATGGAGTGGTTGTGCTCCACGCCAGTAGTGGTGGATGAAATGAGAGACAGGTAGGGAGACAGGACACCCACACGAGTAAAAGTCACATTGGTGCAGGGAGGCTCTGAAGGACCAGAGAGAAAGCAGAGCAGAACCTCTGCATGAGCATGCAAGAAGGTGGAAAACCCAGTGAAGGACACAAAATAAGCCAAATGGAGAAATTATTATGTGGCTCAAGACAAGAAGGAGCTTTGGGAAGTGGCAGGAAGGTGGAAGACCTTATGGCAGGTCAATCACTCATCCAAGCATGAATAGGGGGGATATAAAAATCAAAACCTTAGAGGAAGGTAAGGAAAGTGACTGAGGCCTCTGCAGTTCCTGCTGTAGTGGGGACTCCAGTTGTCACAACTCCCTCCAGTTTTTGGTTAACATCCTTTGCTGACTTCACACAGACCCAGACAAAAGCTTCTGCAAGTGGCAAGACCAGGCACTTGAGGCACAACACAGGAGTTGTTCAACCCACCCGGCTGACCGAGAGACAAGATATCGACATGCACACATCCCTCTCCCAGTACAGATGGAGGGATATGCACAGCAGATACTCGATGCATACAGAAATATGCACTGGGAATGAAATATCTAGGAAAAGCTACGCCTTGTAGCAAAGCTTTAAAACCACACCAAGGAAAAAAGGGAAAAAAAAAAAGAGAGAGAGAGAGAGAGAGAGGAAAAAAAGGCAGTTTTGCCACTACGCTGAATCTGCAACAGGGGCTTGTGCCAACCCAGCTCCTCCATTTAAGTCAGACCCTTAAAAGGCAGAGCTGTGCTGGCAGAAATCTACAGACCTCATCACAGAAACCTCATGAAGACACACGAAAAGGTCAAAGAACTCACCGCTGCTTGAACAGCCATAAAAATGGTCATATGCATCCCATGCTACCAAAATCCTACCAGAGCCCAGGGAGACACAGCACACAAAGCAACGTGTCCACACACAGAGAAAGGAAGAAATTTAAAAAACTGACAAAAAGGCCACTCCTGAGAGCAGAAAACCCAAAATCTGACACAGCAGCTTATGGCACACCATGCACACCAACACCTCTGTATAAAACAGAACAAAGCAAAGATCTACATCAAAAAGGAAGCCCACCACAAAGACACATGTGCTTCACCCTTTCATCCCCGGAGACAGCCAGAGCCAGAGCCCCACGGCCTCACAGAGCCCACAGGAATTCACCCAGACACACAGAATGGGACCATCCTGTCATTTCCTCACTCAGCACCTCAACTTTACTCCGTTCCTTGCCCCTGGCCACAGCCTCCCAGTCTTGGAGCCTGATTAAATCTGCCCGTAATTACCCGCACGCACTGCTACAACACAAATGACCTTAGCATATGATATCCGTTGGCTGAGCCCAATGGAAAAAGACTTCAGGAAAAGGAAGGATAAGCGTACAAAACTCTGCCAGCGCCGTCAGGGTCTCCTCAGGACTGCACTGAAATAATAGGAGCCCTGAGGCCAGTTCAGAAGCCTTGAAACTTAAGCCCAGTTCTGCCCAGGATGTGATAAAATGTTCTGTTTTCTGTATCCCATCATCTGAGCACACACTCACCCCTCTGTTCTTCCCCACCGGACTCTTTGCCACCTCCCAAATAAACCTATGCAGGAGATTTAACATTTTATGATGATGGATTTCTGGCAAAATTTTCCAAAAAATAGATGGCCACCATTTCCTTAGAGAATTTTTGGCATTCACTACCAGGTGTGTTGAACTCCCTCTCCAAGGAGTGCTGCACTCCATGTAGATTTTGAGGGTGGGAGAAGGGTGCTTCTCTTATTCTGAACTGGGATCTATGAAAAGGTCACCAAAAAAACAGAGGCAAAGGCAAGATTTAACAATCTTTTTCTTTTTCTCCACCTGCAACCTCACCTGGGGTGTTGGATAAACCACACAACTGAAGAGAACACCCAAAAAGCCTTGTGAAAAAGGAAAGCACTCCACTACTAACATTCATTTTAATTAGACTCTGGAAGCGACCAAGCCAGGGACACAGGACCCTTCGGGAGCAAGAATGTGGAAATTTCTTAATTCTGCTTCCCAAATGAAGCACACCCTAGAAAATTCCTTCTCAACATGAAAAATGTCTCCACTTGGAGAGCCATGTTCTCCTCTCACATCCATGTTCATCTGTCCCACCATTCCATCTCGGCACATGACTGACAGAGAATAGACAAGCCATTAAAAACACATCCACCTCCAGCCACGGGGATAATGTGCCTCATTACAGCCCAGCTTTGTCACGGCGTCCTGACACTCCGGGGAGGAAAAGGAGGGGTGAGGACAACGACTGAGCCGGGGGCAGGAGAGAAACTGGGACTGGAGGAGTGGGACTCTGCTCCTCAATCCAGTCCAGTGGGCTCTCTAGGCCTCCTAGGCTGGCCGTGGAATGTTAAAAATCCTTGCGTTTGCCTGGGTATTTTTTGTTGCATTTTTTTTAGAACCAAAACTCTGCTTCAGTCAGAGCGTGCGTCTGCCCCTTTAAACAGGTATTTGGTAAGGTAATTCAGAATTTTACTGAACATTCGAGGTGGCCTTTAAACGTCGCTTGTCTTTTCGAGGTTTGTGCATCGCCCTTCCACTCCAGACACAGAAACCCAAAGCCAAGCTGGGGAAGCTCTGGCAGTGGGGCAGGATCCAGGCAGCAATCCTGCAGCAGGAGTTTGCTTTCCCCTCGCACGGGGGAAGGAGCGGGAGGGAGCTGCTCATCCCCAGCCGGTTGCACCATCGCCAGGAGCCAGACAGACAGCCCGGTGTCTGTGAGTCCTCAAGGCCTGTGGCACTGCTGCCCGTGGAGCAGGACCGCTGCCAGATGCCAAGGCAGCCTCCCACCCACACACCAGGGATTCTGGGATCTAAAGGCAGCTCAGACTGAAAGAAAAACAAGAGACACCTAAAAAAAAAAAGTGCTTTAGCTGTCTGGCTCAGCACGGCACGGCAAAGCTGGGGGAGCTGCTGCAGCTGGCCCTGGACAGAGCCATTTGTGGATGTATGCATAATCCAATATACAAAAGCCAGGCTGGTGGGGAAATTTAGGCTCCACGGGGACACTCTAAAACCAGGGACTTCTCCATTCACGTTCCACATACTTAATATGAAAACCAGTGACCTGCATTACTGTCACAATTATTTTCTCAACAGCCACATTTCATTTCCATACGAGCGTTTAGAGCATTGAGCGCCCACCTCCCTCCCTGGCGACACGCAATCGATCAGAAAAGTGAAGGTACTTATGTCTGGAGCCATCAGTACCTGCTCCTTTTTTCTGGCTTCTTCCTTGCCTTGACCCCTGAATGAAGCCCTTGAGACCCAAAAATCACGCACTTCCACATAAAGTCCGGGGCAGTGTGGTGGGCTTCGAAGATCAGGGTCCACATATAGTAAAATATACAAACACACATACGGAATTTAAACAAACTCCGACCACCGTGTTCAGAACACAACCAGAGAAATAAAGGTGCCATCTCGAGCACTGCACATGCAGGGAGAATGGAGAACGCGATTAAAATTGCTAAATGACTCCACGGAAAAGCAGCTGGTAACAAATTGGGTATATGGGTGAATGTCACCGAAATTCCCCCCAACCCCCTTTAAAACTGCAGGCATCACTTACCCGGGGGGCTTTCCTCTTGTATTTGTTGTTATAGTCAAATTTTTCTTTCATTTCATCTAAGAGCTGGCCCAGTCTAGCTTTCTCCTCTTTCCCAGTATAATCCTGGCTGAGGAGGATATAGGATCTCCAGTTTGCAGAGTCAAAGCCCCAGTGGCAAGTCCTGTTTTCCAGCGATTTGTGAGAGTGGACCACAAATTTGTGAGGTGGGTACATGAGCCTGCAGTCCAAGCACTGGATGCAGGCTGCGCTGGGGTTACTGTAAAGCTCTGGCACCAGGAGTCCCTTACACTTCCCAAAGCACTCATGATACACCTTGAAGCTCTTCTCCGTGAGCTCCAGCTCAATCGTGCTCGAGAATTCCTTCTTGCAGTGGGGAGGATAGGTGCCACCATAAAGCAAGGCGTTACAAAGCCTCTCAGCGTCAGTTTTCGTGATGAGCCCGCAGGAAGGAGCGGAGAAGGGCAGGATGCCCATGACTTTGAGGATTTCCAGCTGGTCAGCAGTGCATCTGGAGCAGTAAATATGCAGCTCATCACACACCGAATTAATCTGCTGCAGGGAGAAGTCCCTGAGCACCGAGTTCAGGATCTGGGGCAAGCAAAGCCGCTTCTCTCCACCCACCACGAAGCAGGAGATGGTTTCCCCTTCCAGGATGGTCTCGCACCTCTCTGTGGATCTGTCCGAGGGCATGAAGAAGGGACCGGGCATGACCGGAGGAGGCTGGATTGGGGGCAGATGCAGTACAGGTTCCGCGGGGTCTTTGCCATTGTCTTTCTTGTACATCTCCTGTGCCCATCGTGCTGAGAAAGCAGCAGGGCCACCCAGGGAGCTCATAGAGCTCAGATGAAACTGTTCCAAGGTCTTCTGCAGTCCTGGATGAGGCTGGAAGCTGCTTCTACTTACAGTCTCCATTTTTTAGTTTCTATTCCCAAAACAAACAACAAAAATCCCCAGTTATCTTCCACCCTGGTACAAATCCACTTAAGGGATTTTTTTAAGGAAAAAAATATGAACAAAATAAAACAAACCCACCCTTGTTTTTTTTTTCTCCTTCCCACTCAGCAATCCACTAACGGAGAGGAAATAAATCCTTTTGTATGCGTGTCTCTCTCTTCTTTCTTTCCTCTTGGTTCGTTACAATTTCAAACCCTCCAAGTCTCCAAGCTGCCCCGATGGAGCAGAGAATCACGGCAAAAAGAGGTCTTCATCCGAGCACTCACCCCCTCAGCCAGCCCCCAGGCAAACCGATCCCTCCTCCCACACCTCCGACACTCACACACTCACTCACACACACACACACCACCCACGGAAACACAAAAAGTCTGTGCCACGCTCCGAGCACCCGGGGCTCAAATATGTTCTGGCGGCTGCTGCTTCTCTGCAGTGATCCCCCTTCTGTCCATATCCACCGGAGGAAGGCGCGGGGGAGGAAAGCAGAAAGCGGGAGGCGGCAGAAGGCTCGGTCTGTGCGAGAACAACGCAGGAGGAAAGGCCCCGCTCTCCGGCGCTGCCGCGGGGGCTCCGCACGGGCGATGAGCGGCTCCGCTGCCCCTCGGGGTCCCTCTGCTCGGCCGGGGACGGCTCCTCGTCCCTGGGGTCGCCTCCCTGCCCCTAGTGCTGCCGGCGCTGTCGGCGTGCCGTGGGGAGCCGCGGGGAGAGCGCGCACATCCTCGCCGCTCCTCTCGCCAGCAGTGACTGAGAGTGCCTGCGAGCTGAGCTAATGCAGGCGGGCTCAGCCTCCCGCCCTGCGCCTCCCCCCCTCTGTTTGTTGGTGTCTGCCTCAGTCATTGAATCCCGGCCAAGAATGTGACCAACTCCCCAGGCCGGGCTCTTCCAGGAACAGCGCCCGCCTCCCCCCTCGCTCTGCGCCGACACCAGCCGGGATGTGCCGAGCCGAGTCCAGCCGAGCCGAGCCGAGCCGAGCTCAGCCGTGCCGGGCAGAGCCGAGCTCAGCCGAGCAGAACAGAGCCGGGCCGAACCGAGCCAAGCCGAATCGAACCGAGCCGAACCGAGCCGAGCCCTATCGAGTTTAGCCGAACGGAGCTAAGGCCTGCCGAACTTAGCCGAACCGAGCCGAGCTCAGCCGAGCCGAGCCGGGCCCAGCCGAGCCGCTGCACGGGCGGGCGCGCGGCGCGGCCCCGGCGGCGGCGCCGGCGAGGGAGGGAGGAGGAGGGAGGGAGGATAAACTGCTGGGTTCACGGACCGCCGCGCCGCCAAGGAGGGCCGGGAGGGCGACGGCTTTTCCTCTCGCCGCTGGATCTCTGGCAGCGTGGAAATGGAGCGGCGCTCGCACGGGCACGGAGCGTGTGTGTGAGCCCTGCCCGAGCCCTGCCCGAGCCCTGCCAGAGCCCTGCCCGCTCCGCTGCGGGCACACGCCCCGCGCACCCCGCGATCGCGGGCGGCAGAGCGCGATGGACGGGCGAGAACTGCGCGGGCCGGGAGCGCCGGGGCCACCGAGCCCACCCAGCGCTGCGGGCACAGCGAGCCACACACGTGTGCTTCCCTGGGCTCGGCACGCGTGTGCCCCCTGCTCTACACACATGTGCCCCCCGCTCTCACACACATGTTCTCAAACATGTGCCCCCCGCTCACACACACATGTGCCCCCCGCTCTCACACACATGTGCCCCCTGCTCACACACATGTGCTCCTGTTCTCTCTCACACGTCACACGCTCGTTCACGCGTGGCTGGGTGGGCAGAGCCCTGCAGGAGTCTGAGCCAGGGGCGGGCACTCGGGGTCGGTTCCTCGAGCCCCGCCCGCGGCGCCGGGGCCGCCCGGGTCAGTGCGGGTCTGTCCCGTCTGTCCGGCTCTGTCTGTCGGTCTGTCCGGGGGCACCGGCTGCACCCCCCCCGCCCCGCCACACTCCGGGGCCGGGCTCCCTCTACCGACCGACCGGCTCAGCGCCGGGAGAGCGGGGCACGGACACACGGACACCTCCGACCAGGGCACGGACACCTCTGACCAGAGCACAGACACACGGACAACTCTGACCAGGGCACAGACACCTCTGATTAGGGCACGGACACACGGACACCTCTGACCAGGGCACAGACACCTCTGACCAGGGCACGGACACCTCTGACCATGGCACAACACATGGACACCTCTGACCACGGCATGGACACCTCTGACCAGGGCATGGACACCCACTGCCCACTGGTATCGACACCCCTGCCCAGCAGCACTGCCAAGTCCGTTATGGATTTATTATCCAGCAGTGAGATGCTCTTTCTATCAATGTCAAATGTCAAAGCAAAAAACTGTGGCTTCTCCCTTTTTCCCATGGGCTGCGCCCCCAGAATTCTAACAAACATTTCAACCAGCGCTAAGCACCACCATGAGGAACAAGGTGAAAAGGTTTCAGCTGTTATCTCTGAGCTCTGTCCGATGCATGTGCCAAAAAGGGCTGGAGAGCACTTTCACACCAGGACAATTGTTAGTGCTGTTTGTAATGCAGCAGTGACTTGAAGCACTGCTCATCTATAGAACGTGTGACACAGACACCCAGCACTCAGACAGTCTCCTCTGGAACAGTTCCCCAGGGCAGGGGAACAGACAGAAAACACATCAGGACAAATGAGGAGGAGAGCAAATAGAAAATACCACCACTGTGATTCACTGTCAGTGTAATGGGGCAGGGAACACACCGAGCTCTCCTGTTTAATCTGTACTTTTATATTCTGAAATCCCAATTCAGGGTAAAGGACAAAGGTGTCAGAGTTGCATAAGACCTTTGATCTTGCCCATGAGCCAGCATTTCCCCAGGGAGGAACCCACTCTCACAAACCCAACTTGGCCATCAAGCCTTGAAGTATTGAAGGGGCTCAGAGAAGGCAGGAACCAAACACGTGGGGCCAAGTCAGCAGTTGTGTCTTCATGTGCTCCAAGAAGACACTTGGAGAATCTTCACCAAATTGTGAACAGAATGAACAGAAAGTCGTTGGTGGCAAGAAGGACCCTTCTATTTCCACAGTGCACATGGATTTAGTGATCCACAATGGAATTTTTAGATATTACCACAATACCAGGGTCTAAAGCCATGATCTAACTGTCTAGGCCATCCAGTCCCTCTTGATTCCTGATGCTAAAAAAGTTACCAGATTAAGAGAAAGCAGGACTAGGAATATTCTTCACTGAGTAACCTTAACTAAAAGGCTTTAGTTAAGAATAACTTTTTAATAATATTCTTCAGAACCTATGTGTTGGTACCTTTGATAATATGGTGGAGAGACATCTATCCATTCCATCATTTTCAAACTGAAGGATGTGTTTTATTAGAATGAAAACCCTTCCCACCATTCAGTCTTGTCTTAGGGAGAAGCACCAGACACCCAGTGAATTCCAGCAGGGATGTGGCAGTCAACCAGACTGTCATCAAAGACACTCAAATACAGTGGAGAGCAGCAGCAGGATCATTCCCTAGATGGATTTAGTGCAGTTGCAGACTTTTTTTTTTAATTCACTAAAATATAAAGGGCCAGATATACTCAAACATCACTTGTGTAGTCCCTGGTTCTTTTAAAGAACCAAACTAATGCTTGCGGGAAGTTTGGAAACTTCTCAGCTCTGGAAGTTGGGAGTTTTCACTCCCTCTTCTTCATCCCTTAGAAAGAAAGGACAGCAGTAGCTGCTGTAGCTCATTTTAAGAGAGGTGCCATGTTCTCTTCCAAATGACTTTTTAATGCAAGTAAATCACTGGATCGTGCAACAGATTGTTTATGGGTGGAATTCATAAACGGAATTCCTGAAGCAGAGGGGACTACCAAAAAGACAGGAAGGATGGGCTTGTGGTTAAGACAGAAAACTCGGGACATCTGGGGTCTATTCCCAGATCTCCCACAGACTTCCTGTTGCCTTGGGCAAGTTGCTCAGTCTCTCTGTGCCTCAGTTTCTGTCTCTGCAATCCCCAGACGGTGAGCAATGAGAGTGGCAGCTCCTGCACCAAGATCCATGATGGGACAGGAACCATCCTGCAGGAACAATACAGCAAAACTTGCCCATCCTCACATCCCCCAGACTCCTCGGAACTGAGGCAGGAGCAGGGATGGGAGCTGTCATGTGGGATTAAGGTGGCAGTGCCTTCGGAGGTCTCTGCTCCCCATGACGGACTGTGAGCGCTGCACATCTTAAAATCACATTAATCTTTCCCCCAGTAACTGTTTGTCTTGCTCCAGTTCCAAAGCCCTCTAGCTGGAGAAAGGAGAGGGGGAGAATATCTCCGAGGAAGGGCCCTAACACCACAGTGTTTTTCTCACTCTCTCCCTCTTCTCCTCCCCCTCTCCATTGGCTTCAAGGCCAACAGCTCCTGGAACACAAACACTCTTGTAAACTTCTGAACCACACAGCCCTATGGTGGGTGGGTGTTTGCTCCCTGCCTGCCAGTTCCAATCCACCCACAGATTCCAAAGGCCCCGAACAAAAAGCAGACTCCATTTTCCATATTTAACAGGCGGTTCTCTTCCCTCCCCAGCGCCTTCCCTCGCAGAACTCGGAGCCTCTCCCCGGCACCGTGTCCCACCTTCCCCACCTTGCCCAGGCTGAGGGCGTTATTTGTGTGTGTGTTTACACAGACATGGGAAAAGCATATTCCGAGTGGATTTCCCCCAGCCCTCCCTGGTTTTCAGAGCCTGCCTGCTCAGGAGGAGCTGGGGATTATCGAGGGCTGTGCTGCAGATTGCAGCTCCCTGACAGAACGTTTGGGAAGGGCCCATTGTGCAGGTTGTGAGGAGGGGAGGGGGAGCGTGGGTGCGAATGCCACACGGCAGAATTCCTGCTGCAGCTCCCATCACTGTACATTCCTTGGAGCAGCCAGTATCCAGCTTCTCCATGGCTGGGGCACACACACTCGGTCCTCACTGTGACTTTCTGGGACTGAACTAAACCATTCCTGCATGACCAGGATATTTCCTTCCCTCTTTT